CGTGTGTCTGGTCAGTCTCTTGGCCTCAGGAGTGGTGGCTCACTGTGCATGGGTGATRCTGAGACAGAACATCACAGACCTACATCAAACCAGTGAATTTAGGAAGGCGTGGGATGGAAGGCACAGCAGACTGTCTGGAAGCACAGACGGTTGTTGCTCATTTTTTGTTAAATACTGTTGCTACCCGCTACGAAGCATTAGCTTAATTAACTCAGGCACAAAATCTTCTGTCTTGGCGAAGTCCGTCAACATCCAAGGAGTATTGGTCCATGTTACAAATATGAAAATGAAATGAAGATTTATTTGGGTACAGGCTAATCACAGAAAAGTGATCCAGTCTGTCTCAGAGATGAGTGTGCTAACAATTTTAAAAGTAGACAAATTGGTAYTCTACCCTTCCATTGCTTATCAGATGTGAGGCTAAATTGACTTGGAACCCTCAYTGTTTTACCTTTGCTTCTCAAAGGTGAATGACATCCTGTAATTAAAAGCAAAAACAAGCTCTTATGCCCACACATTTGAAAAAAGAAAAAAGGCAGCGGAAAAACCTTGTCAGGCTGTTATTACTGCRTGGTATTATCTGCTATTGATATTCCTGGTCTGACATTTTTAGATAATGCGGTCTCAGCTTGGGATTCGTGGATTCCAGTTCCTCTGCTGTGGTGTATTCTTTCATGGTTAGAATTTTCTGAACTTAYAGCATTAAGATTGTCCTAATGATAGAAGCAGAGCACACTGTTTGCCTTATTTATGCAGCGTGATTTCACTCTTTGCTCTTAATGCTATTTATCATGGTTAGTCTGGTCTTATCCTCTGCTTCCAAAAGTAGGTGATGACTAATGCTTCCAGGGAAGGAAGGATATCAGAACCTCAGGCRTCCACAGCTGATTTCAGTCAGGTTTTTGTTTTTGATATTATTCATCACTTTACCTCTTCTATTTTAAGTTACTATTCTTGAAAAATTGGTCTTACGCTATCAGGCACCATTTCATAAAAGGTAGCTGAAAAATTGAAGAGAGTTCAGAGTAAACATACATGAAAGAATCAAGAGAAGTCTACCCTTTACAGGGAGTTTAATTGATACTTAATTTATATGCTTTGGTTTGATTTAAGCAATGATCTGGCTGCGTTCTGAAAGGATCTACATAAGGAAGAGAGGCAGGTCTGTAATGCAAATGACAGAAGCATAACAAAATGCAATGGTTGGAAGTGGTGCAGGCTAAATTTTAAGCCAGACATAAAGGAGAAGCTGTAATTATGGTGCTTAATTGCTTGTCCAAACAATTTACCTAATGGTGTGTTGGGTTCTCCAACACTTGCATTATTTCAGTTGAGGCTACGTGTGCTTTATAATAAATATTTTTTAGCTCAGCAGAAGCTTTGTGGAGCAGTATTTGGGGACGGTTCAGGGTTAGTCGAGATGGTCAAGGAGAAAGGYTCTCAAAGCAGTGACATAAAGAAAATTTAAGGGAATTTTTCGAGGATGGGGCAGTGAATTTGGGAAGGAGGTATTGCCAYTGGTCAGTGAGTAAGGAGTCACAGGAAAATCTCATAGCAGTCAGATCAGGAATGGAGGTGTGAGTTACTGCTGACCAAGGATGGCTGTGGGAGGGTGGCAGGCAGACCTGCAGAAGGCTTCAGCAGGGACAGGGGGAGTGTGGCAGTGACAGGGAGGCAAGAGGTGGCTCTCCCTGTGCGAGGATTTCTAGGGACACAGTCTCTGCTGACAAAGGTTTTTACAGCCTTGCTGCTTTAACTGTTGTAGGGTTAGAATCAGGTATTCAGATTTGCCAGGACAGGACTCATTGAATGCAAACAGTGCCTGAAGAATTATTTGCTGGAGTAGATGTGTGGGGGCAGCTGTAGATTTAATCTATACRTTAACTTTTCAGTGAAAAATAGCATTTAATGGAAGGAAATAGTTCAAAAGTGAAACGTGTATTTGCTGGCTGTGTTGCTGGCTAGCCAGAAAAACTCTGCTGTTACCTGTTGGGGGTTCTTGTCCAAGTGCAGGCACCACAACAACACACAGGCAGTGACATATGAAGAGTAAGTTTAGAGTAAGGTGATTAGTTACAWGCCCAGGTTTCCCTGTGCTGTTTTGATTACTTGTCCACATCACAAAATGTTCTGCTCCAAAGCAGCTTCTGATGGAAAACCGRGAAGTATTGCAGGGAGTGGAGAGGGAGTGCTGATGGCTTTGTCTGAATTAGGCAGGGTGCTCCACCACAGAGAATTCTGAGAGGTAGGGGCTGTGCTTGTCTGTAGGCCATTGTCTCTTACATTTTGGCCTTTTACCAGCTGACAAAATGTGAGGAAAATAGCAGCACACCCAGAAGTTTAGCTTCGGTGTTTAAGAAAGAAGTTAATTCATTTTCTTTTTCTATGATCTTGCAAAGTAGTTAGGCTAAATTTAATTGAGGCTGGGGAGCTGGGGCTGGAACAGATGAAGAAAAGGGAACTTGCTGAAAACACTGTCAGGGCACAGATAGCAAAAATGAGCGGCAGTAAATGCATAACAGAAAATGAGAGGGGGAGAAAGAGGAAGAGAAAAGGCTAACGGGGAAACAATTAAAAAACACCACCATGGCCAAAACAAAGGCGTTAGAGGTTAGCTGAGAGGGAGCTGTGTGCCAGCTTACAGTCAGCAGCTGAGTTACAGCACTGTGGTCTCCCTGCTCCCAGGCTGTCCATAGGAGCTTTTAAAACTCATTCATTGAAATTCTCTCATTGTCTTCAGCCGTCCCCAGTTCTGTGCAACCTGGCTACTGAAGCAGACATTCTTGGTGTGTGCATCACACAGCCCATCCCTGTCATCAGCCTAGCAGACCATGAGAGTTCAGTGGSACCAAGGCATTCTGCCTGGGAGGTGGTTAAGGAACATTCCAGAACAGGAATGGTGATAATCTAATCAGTACTGGGATTTCTTTTTTCTTTTGCTTTGAATCAGTACAGAGATAATGTTCAGGGTCTGAGGGTGCTTCATTGCAGCAGGATGCTCTTTCACATGAAATGTCAAGCCAGAGGCTGAAAACCTGTCGGAATTAAACTCCAGGATGCTTTTAGCAATGGACAAAGTACAGTCATCTTTGGATGTAATAACTCTGCAGAGTCCACATTTGTCCTGTTTAGATTGTAAGGCTGACTGCCCTCATTGCTTTCTGCTCTTAAAACCTAGACAGTTACCTGAGTTTTATTRCTGCTTTTACAGTTTTGAAGGATGCAGGAGGAGGAGGCAGCAGTGCAGGTGAATCTCAGTGCTGGAGTTCCAGTCATTTTCTGGGTCCATCAGGGCTGGTGTTGGTAGTGGGAAGTACCAAGCAGTGGGACTGTGGTTTGTGTACCCTCAGACCCCACCCGCTGGTTTCCTCTCCAGCSCTGTGGGGAGGACCTGCCTTTCACTTCTTGCTTTCAGAATGGTGCTCTGCACTCTTACTGTAGGGCTGGACAGCAGGTCTGGGAGGGGGGAAAGTCGTGTCCTTGTGGCTCAGCCTTGGATACATCTCTGGGCTGTTCCTGCCATGCTCCTGTCTGCCTTGTTTCCAGCCAGCTCATCATCTTCCTTTCACTGGTACTGGATTCCTAGTGCTACCACTTTGTAGTGGTAGGAATTGTGAAACCACTGTCTGCATGTCAAGCAGACTGCATGGCCAGGAAGAGACAAAAGTGTTGGGTCTGATGTTTGGCACTTGCCAGTTCCTCTCTCATGCAAGCAGTGATGGAGGAGGAAAATGACCAAAAATTGTCTACCTTGTAGTGTTGTGGCTAAAATAGAAATTACTCCTCAAGCAGAAAACATATTTCCTGAAGTAAATCTATTGTTTGTAATAAGACACGTGGATATCCATCAGTTTCAACAGTCATTGCTCTTAGCTGAAGGTACTGTCCCTGCACTGCCATGTGGAGACCTTGATCCTCTCACTGGCACTGATCCTTTTCCATGATCACAACAAATCTTCCTTGATTGGGTCACAGATGCCTGCTGGTTTTGGTAGCCTTCAGGGGTTCTGAGACCAAAGCAGTGCATGGGCAGAAGTGACAGTGCTCAAGAGCTCCAAAATTAGCATTAACTTTTGTCCGTGTGGGGTCTTCATTTCTCCGTCACATCTCAAATCCAGGACCATAGGACTGTCTGATGGTACAGCAGGACTGTCATTGCTACCTGGCGAGTGTGGTTTGTGTGTGGTGAAAAGCACTTGTTCCTTGCAGCGTACAGGATTTTTATGGGCAGCATTTTCAGCAGCATCTGAGCCCAGTTCTCAAAAGTGATGTAGGCTTTTAAGAGGCCAAAGCCAAGATTTTCATAAATAAGTAATGATTTGGGCTGCCTCTGTTTTTTGTTACACAAGTCAAAATGTCTAAAAGGAGCCTGGTTGTCAGCAGTTGTGGGATTCTGGCATTTTTTCAAAATTGACATGCTTTTAAAATGTCTTAAGTTGGGCATTCAGAAATGGAGGCATCAAGAATGATTAGCTGCTTTTGAAATCCGTTTTCTTAAAAGTCTGAATGAAAATCACTGGGGCATGGGGTCCTAAATGACATGTGAAAAAGTGCTAAAAGTGTATTTTGGAAGTGTGTCTGCCTATCTGTGACTAGACTTGTCCCCAGAGCACCTGCACTGTTGTACATTAATGCACTCAAAAAGGCCTAACAGGGAAAGGCAAATACATCACTACTGTGCAGAACGCAGGGTGGGATTGATGGGCTGCTTCAGGGTATCAACCTGTCTCTGCTCTGGTTTGGAGAGGAAAATAGCAKGGATTTTTGCAGGTACCAACAATAACCTGATCAGTAATTCTGACCTGCTGGGGAGACAAAGACAAGTATCTCAAGTTGTGAACATTAGGAACAACATGTTTAAAGTCAAGCGTGCACCAGTTAAACATGTTAAAGGGTTTTGTAGGTCTGATTTCATAAACCAGCAAAATAGTAGGATTGCAGCTGTTCCTCAGCCTGAATTCCTRAAGTACATGTGMCTCTCCTGTGTCTCCTCTCAGAGCTRAACCATGTCCCACCCRTCCTGGCTGCCACCCAAGAGCACCAACGAGCCTGTTGGCCACGTTACTGCGAGGATGGAGACCACACACACCTTTGGGACTCCCAGCATCTCCGTGTCCACCCAGCAGACCCCGAAGAAGTTTGCGCCTGTGGTTGCCCCCAAACCAAAGTACAACCCATACAAGCAACCAGGAGGTGATGGTGAGTATTTGTTTTTCAGAAAGGAACCACAACTGCCCAGTCCAGAGAAACTGACTGCTGAAACAGGCTGTTCTTGATTTGCTCTTTGTTWGTGAGTTTGTGGGAGCCTCTCTTTCTCAGGTCATTCAAATCAAGAGGAATGTGAAGGTGTCTCTTACTCTTTCTCTGGCTATCTACTTTCTTGAGAGGTGCAGGGCTGGGAGAGGACATGAGGATAGATCTTTCTTGGTTTTAATTGAAAGCAGATGTCCTATGGCAGAGACTGGTACTTTTCTAAGAGTTTTGCTTGTTTGGTCTCTTCGGCATGTCATGATTTGGGTTCAAACACCCTTTTCAGTATTGGTTCTTTCACCCCAGCAGAGTGGGAATGCTTTACAAACAAGGGATTGATCTGTGGGAATATGAGTATAATTGGGAGTGGTAGGGCATCACTTTGKCCAATGAGTCTAGAAATGTTTTCTCTCCAGTCTGCTGGCTGGATTGTTTTACTTGTTCTTTTCCCTCTTCCATGGAACACTCTTTAATATGAAATAATTTGGAGAACATTTGCATGACTATTGCAATGGCCTCTGGAGCTGTTATGTCAGCAAAACAAATGCCTGCCAGTGACAGCCTTCCTCTGCCTCCTGCTGTAAAAATCCTCCTCTCTTCATCTMGTGTGGGATTTGGGTTCCTGGCTTGTGGTCACAGGGAAGGAAGGAGCTCCCAGTTGTAGGAGTGCATGGCTGGGAGCACAGGTTGGGGCACTTGGAACGTCCCTGGCTGACAGTGGAGAGTTGGTGATGGAACTGCAGCAGAAACAAGGTGAAGGCCAAGGATTTTAGGAGAGAGTGGTAGCTGTCTTGGCAGAGCATGGCATTTCTATTCCTATTCTACTATAGGTAGAGATGGGGGAGGAATTTTTCCCCTCCTCCTCTCCAACCTCTCTCCAAAGAAAAGCTCAGTTGTATTCAAGAAAATTGCCAAATGAGCTTTTGTATTTGGTTTTGGATGCTCTACATTGTTCTTCACCATTTTTTCCTCTTTTATGTTGAGTACAATAAGATAAATATCATCTGTATATGTTTTCCTCTTTGTGCTTTATCTTTTGAAARCATATGCATTTTTAGGAAGACTACAGAGTAATGGAAAGGAGAAAGAAAAACAAAGCAGCATATTAAACCTTGCACTTGAGCGATTTTCTGAAGTTAAGGACATTTTRTAGGAAAGTTGGAAAAGCCTGATGCGTGCTTTGGTTTTTTTCCTCTGCCACTAACTTCGGAGAATTCAGAACGAAAAAAGAAAATGTGTTGGAGGGGGAAAAGCGAAGTCATATGCACCTGTTCTGCTGCCTTCAGTAGCAAAACTTAGTGAGAAATAGGAAGAGAAAGACATTTGGAATTTAAAAAGTAAAAAATAATCCRTTTTTGAAATGCAAAGAAAATGTCACCTTCAAGTCAAGTGGAAATTCTTATTTTTGTAATTCCCTTGCAATTAGAAATAATAATGGAAAATGACCCTTTATTTCTTACGAACACTGTTCTTGATCAATCAGTATTCTTTGTGTGAAAAAGGTCAGTATGTCTTAACTGTCAATGCTTTAGTGACTGTAGGTCTGATTATATGTGACTCAGGAACATTATCACCTTCTAAAAAAATTCTGTGTTTCCTGGCATTTGGRGAGGGAGGTTTTCCCAAAGAGCAGAGCAGGGACTGCAGGCTGAGCAGGGGRTGCAGGACCCTCAAACCTTTCCCATGCAGCCTGGAGTGCATCACGGGCTCTGCTGCAAACCAGGAAACAGTCAGGAATTCCAGCACACTTTGTCCCTTGTCTGGTCTGGTGCTGGGCTTTTAGAGATCCCATCGTTATCTGACAGACCTGGAAGAGCTAAGGGCTGGCCCAGACCTGGCCAGGGATAGGCTTAGAGATGTGACAGCGTGCCCTGCAGCTTAAGCTAATCCATTTACTGAAGGTGACACGCTGGTGGTCGCTGTCAGCAGCCCCTGCAAAGCCATTGCCTGTCCARTGTAACCCTGGGTATTTYTAAATTCAGTRTTTATTAGTGCTGATGTCTTTCCTTGTAATTGCCATCCTTGGTGAATGTAGTATCTGCAGGAACAGTTAATATGGATTTAATAATGGAAACTGAATGAAGGGATGAGACTCAAAGCAAGCTCCTGCCTTGTCCTTCCTTTCCTTGGGTACCTTTCAGATACAGTGAACAGCAGGTCTCATGTGAAGGTCTTTGAGCTTTAAATTATTTTTTTATAAAACATCTCCTTCAATTTACTTTGGTTGGAGGAGTGGGCAGTGAAACAAGGCAAATGAGCAGGACCAGCTCCAGGGCAAGGCTGTGTCGTGAGCATCAGTGTGTGTTCTTGAGCCCAGCTGGTCCARGTTTCCCAGAGCTTGACTCTCTGTGCCCTCCTCTTCTTCATGTGTGTGGAGGCTTCTGAGCCCTGGCAAGTTCTGTTCTGCTGTGTCTGTAGGGGACTGGGAGCATGAACTATCAGGCTGTTTGTTGTTCTGCTGTTGTGGTTTTTTTTTACAGGCTTATATACCTAGTGGGTTTTGTTTACAGCAGCTGCTATCAGTAGCTCTGTCTTAATTTTTGAATCTTGGGTATGGATTTATTGGACTAGACACCCTGTGTTGTAGCTGTGCTGTGCCCTGCTCTGCAATCTTTGACAGTTCATGGAAACTAGCATGGTCTGGAGTCTATTCATTACTTGCATTGAGAGCCCTGAAAGAATAAAATCAGGCTGACCTGAATGATTCTGTGGGTTTTTTTTGTTTGTTTGTTTTTTTTCCCGGTAGTCCGTGCTGATTCTGTTTGATAACAGGAAGAGTTCTCATGGGTGGAAGGGCTGTGTTGGCTGAGAAGCAGAGGGTGTTGTACCTGCTCCTTGGAGTATCTGTGGAGTTTCTGCAGTGCTGTGCTGGTTGTTGGAGGGGGTGCAGGCACAGTGAGCTGTCTCAGCCGTGCTCCTGTGTGGTTCTGTGTGTGCACTGTTCAACACTAACATGAGATAATGCAATTACCCAGARGTGGGCAGCCAGCAGGAGTTGGCTGTCTTGCACACTTTGGGAGTTATGTCTGTGAACCATTGCTGCTGAGATGAGACAGGGGAACATGTTGTTACTCTGAATTGAGTCCTGTGAGGACCAGAGTATTTCCATTGGGATCTGTTGGTCCCTTTCTTGCTCCTCATCTCTGCCACCAGCTGAAAAAAAAAAAATCATTGATGCTTCACGGGGGAGGCAGCATCTCAGCAGTGGGACAAAAACATAGGCTGAGAAATGCTCCAACACTTTTCTGGTCCCATCAATTGCAATGGGTGCTGTGGTCCCATCCCTCACAGGACTGAGCTGCCAGTGTTGAAAAATRTGGTGGGAATAAAGAGGTGAACTTACTGCTGCAAATCATCCTGTCTGTGCCTGAGCACAGCCCCCAAGTTAGTGCTTGTTTCTTAGAAACAGCTTTTTAAAAGTGCCTATTATTATAAAGTCTTTCTTAATCCTTCCCTAGTTTTTCCATGTGTTTCTTGTGCTGAATGAGATGCAGCAGATGAAGCAATACTTTATTCATTAGTGTCAGAACTGCATCATCCACGGGCTCTTACAAAATCCAGCTGGTGAAAATGTCTCGAAGCTCCAGGCCTCTTTGTGGTGGGCTTGCCACCTTCACACAAGAGTGTTTAAAGCACAAACCAAGCCCCTGAGCACCGCAGAATGAGTGGGAAGGCAGGGGTCCCTCWTTAGGGAGTAACTGTGAACCAGTTCAGGGCAGCCCTTTGGAAGTGTCCATTGATTTCTCTCCAAGGACATCCTCTCTCCCCTTGATTAAGAACCAAGTGAAACCAGTTGGAAATGAGTGGTGGTTCTCATTTGTATAAAACTGGATTTAAACTGCCCCAAGCAAGCTGGGCCATGTTGAAGAGGCGTGAGACCACGCTGGTGCCTTTGTGCCTGGGCAGCTCCACTCAATAACTTCTGATTTACAGGGGATTTCTGCCCAGTTGTCTCCAGCACACTGACCAGTGTCAGGACCTGTGATTCCCACCAGTGTGAATAAACTGGCTCTGTGTGAGGCCTTCTGTCTTGATAGCAGTCATCCCAAAAGCTGTTGTGATGGATAACAGTGTCTGCATCTGTTTTTTTTTTTATTTTTTATTTTTTGCCAGAGACGAATCCATAGAGCTGTGTCTTGGCTTTGCTCTCAGGGTGAGCATTTTCTTTTTTGAAATACCACCTCAGAAAAAGGCCCTGGGAAAAATACAGCATAAAACAAGTGCGTAAAAACTGTTATTGAACCAGTATACTTATCTGTAGTTCACAAAATGTCAAGTCAAGCCACCAGGTTTTATTAAGTATTCTGACTGTGTTTTRTTAGAATTACAAATATTAAATTTTCAGAGGCTCTGGAACACATTGCCTCTTATTTGTGAACTACTTGAAGTAGTACCTAGCCTTGGGTTTCATTCTGGTGAGTGAGCTTGTATTTTCTCAGTTATTTGGTATCATAAAGCAAACATAGCACTTCTCAGCAGGTAGATTCTTAATTTTTTTCTGCCTTGACTATTTTTTCTCATTTTCTTTTTCTCCTGTCTGTCTGTTCTTCCAAGATACTATATTTAATTTTTCCACTTCATTATTTCAAACATCGAATAGTGATTCATCTTAGCAGTGGCCTGTTCTGTGAACCACAATAGTTTGGGTAGAATAAAGAAAAAGGGCAAAAAAGGGAAGGGAAAAAGAGAAAGAARAGACATTTCTGACACACTGAAATGGAAAAGCACCATCATTTTATAACTTGAATTGCAAACATCTGTCATCGACCATATCAAACGTGCTGTTAAAAAGATAATGTTTGTCCTGTATGTAGTTTTACAGGGCTGTGGTGCCAAGTAAAAGCAAGAGAGCAATGCTCATGCAGAAATAGCTTGAATTGAAGCAGGCAGCACTTGTCCCTTTTATTTTAATCTGAAATGTTAACATCTTCCAGATGCTAGTCTGTTAA